CAACAGCTCGCACCTCGTTGGTTATGGCCCTGTGAATAATACAGATCCGCCAGCCGAGGGCTATAAATAGTACAATGACATTTCCTACCATAACTAATTCTGATGCCGAAGAGACCAACGCGTAGGTGTGGGTTGGAGAGACTTTTGTTTACCTATGGACGCCGACGGATTGTTATCAAGTGACTCATGAATCATTATACAGGTGAACAGTCACGTGATTTGTTTTGGAAAATTTCACAGGATCTGGCACAAATACAGCTTGTAGCTACTGGGAAAAAGAAGTATCTATTGGAGCCAAGAAGTACTTTTCCTTCTGTAGCTTTCCCATGGAGTACAAAATCTAGATAAAATTCGGCTAGTACTACTGCTCACATATTTGGGGGTGAAGCACCATTGCATTGATCTAGAACTAAAGTGAACGGGTTCTGTAACGACAATCCCTCATAGAGACCATTTATCTGACATACATGCCTTTTGAACATTTTGAGGAAGTAATATTTGATTCGACAGTGAAGAGTAAATTCTTTAGCGAAAGCTTTCTTACCCGTTACTTTGTATCACTCATGATGCATACCTGAAATAAGAAGTAACCATTAGAATATCGAAAACTATTAATATGGATTCTTATAGCTGTTTTAGGACTATTCCAATTCGTCCAACATAGAAATTGGTTCCAAAAATGTTATACAGGGATTGTCCGGAAAGTAATAGGACTCATTTTCTTCCGCCATGACTGTACTTCGGAGCGTGCGCACACCGACTGGATTCGGTAGAGGGCGTTCCTAGCTAACGAATGAGCGGCTGGTCAGTTGTCTCCGAGCACTTGAAGAGTCAGGACAGGCATTTTCGCGCGACGTGTTTCTGTGAGTGGTGCAAGCCGAAAATGCAGCGTTCGTTAGAGCAGAGGTACGCGATTAAATTCTGTGTGAAACTCGGAAAATCTCTCGTGGATCTTTAATATGATCCCGAGACAAAGAGAGACAATCTTCCGAGTGGCATACGTCGGCGTCTCCTCGCCCAAAAAAGGGAAGAATGAGCAAATCCAAAGAGAAAACGGTGCTCATTGTCTTTTTTGACATCAAAGCCATCGTCCACCATGAATTTGTTCCTCCTAGACAAACCGTCAACGCCAAGTTTTACGTGGAAGTGCTCAGGAGACTCAAACGAAGGGTCAGTGGGGTCCGACAAGACATCGCAGCCGACTGGAAGTTGCACCACGACAACGCCCCGGCTCAAACCGCCTTTCTTGTGAACAGCTACCTGACCAAGGCCGGCATCCCAATGCTTCCGCAGCCGCCCTACAGCCCAGATGTGACCCCCCGGGATTTTTTTTGTTTCCTCGCCTGAAAGACAAACATTTTGAGACGACAGAGAGGATCCAAGCAGCATGCACCGCGGCTCTCAACGCTATTCCGGAGAATGCCTTCCGTGACGCCTTCAATGCTTGGAAATCGAGCTGGCAGCGCTGCATCGACGCAGAAGGAGCCTATTTTGAAAGTTTTTAAAGAATTGTAACGATTGGCTCAATAAATTCTTTTAAATCGACTCAGTCCTATTACTTTCCGGACAAACCCTGTATGTGTGCCTTAATAGGAACATTCATCGTGACTTCAACATGCTTCTGGTATTGAAAATATGGGGATGTTAATAGTGATGCAAGTAGAAAGATCCTATCTGCGGTACCGACATCATCCAGGTGCAGGATTATCGTAACTGGTAGACAACCACAAAGTCAAGGTCACCTAAATAACAATAATGCATTGGTTTAAAAAATGGCCACAGATCAAATTGAATAAATTTCAAGAATATTATAGTACAAAATACTACGGTTATTCCGAATTGATGGGTAATCCGTATAGGAATGCATTATGTAAGCCATTTGTTCAATCTGAGCCGTATTTTTTTATATCTTTTTTTATACCTTCTTCCTCATCTTAAAATCGCAGGATATTTTTCAGAGAAAGTGCCTCGCAACAAATCGTTTCCTCTCTTCATAAAATATTTGGCAACTGAGAGGATAACAGTATTGCGCAGAGTTATTTGTTGGATTGATTCTGCGAAACTTCTTGAATCTGGCAAGGCAAGACGCAATACCGTTCTTTGCTACACCGACAGGTTTCTCCAAATAACAACAAGAATGACGGACAAACCTCGAGACAAATTGATATGTAGCTTTGAACAAGATCTTTCCTTGCAGGATACTCAATCAAAACAAAGGATCAGGACCTATAAGTTCTTACTTGTATACATTATAAAGCCACTACAAACATAATAAATGCAATACGAATTTATTGAAGAAATTCCACACAGGTATGCTTAGCTGCTATGTAACATGGCATACTATTTATCTACGCTGTATTAATATATAGACGGTAAAAATAAAATTAAATTTAATTAACTGGATTCTTCTTCATCCGCTTCATCGCTTTCCCACCAATGAGAAGCAGCATCGCAAATATAATCACTAGGTATAATTAAAATTCCGATTTTTTCTACTAGCTATAAAGCGCGGACAATGTTTTCAAGATTCTTTCTGGATGTAAAGTAATGGCATTTGAGCTGCTTATACACAGTATTGCTTCTGGATCTATCCATGGTTCATAATCAGGATTAGAATGCAAACAAACTTTCGTATCTTCCGGAACAATATCCCTACTTTCTCAGATAACTGTTGTTTCTCGATATTTCCGTTTTATTTCTCTTATAAGCTTCAGTATAGCGTCGAGGACAAACTTTTGAACTGTTTTTAAAATAGTTATTGTTACTCATTAGGAACTGAATAGAGTAGTTATACGTCTGGCAATTGTCGTTTTTATTCTTGAACAATCCTTCTGGATATGTTTCATGTTCACAAGATTCATTGTTGTAGTTTATGTAAAAAATATAACAAATGCATTCTAATGTTTAGAACAGCACTAGCACTAGCATTCATTGAAATAATCATAACCATCTACTTAGTCTTATTATAGGTACTGTATGAAAGTAATCTGCGATTTTTTGCTAGTATCTTTTTGGCAACACTGTTTTTGACAGATGACCGGTGACTCGTGTCTTGTGTCATTGTCAAACTTGTTCAGTTTGGTCTATAATTTAACCATGAATCGACTTACGAACGAACAACGCTTGCAAATTATTGAATTTTACTATCAAAATTCATGCTCGGTTCAGAGAGTGCATCGAGCACTGCTTCCAATTTATGGGCAATTTGGTCTGCCTACTGAGGGAGCTATTCGGAAGCTTGTGACTAAATTTCGAACCCAGTTTACATTATTGGATATTAAACCACCAACACGCAGACGTAGAGTAAGGACTGAAGAAAATATTGCGGCTGTATCCGCCAGTGTTAGTGATGACCGTGAAATGTCGATTCGCCGCCGTTCGCAGCAATTGAGCCTCTGTTTCTCCACTACGTGGAAAATTTTGCGACAGGATTTGGGTGTAAAACCTTATAAGATACAGCTGGTATAAGAATTGAAGCCACACGACCTTCCACAACGTTTCCAATTTGGTGAATGGGCGCTGGCAAAGTTGGAGGAAGATCAACATTTTTATCGAAAAATTGTCTTCAGCGACGAAGCTTTGAATGGGTACGTTAACAAGCAAAATTGCCGCATCTGGAGTGAAGACCAGCCAGAAGCATTGCAAGAGCTGCCAATGCATCCCGAAAAAGTAATTGTTTGGTGTGGATTATGGACCGGTGGCATCATCGGGCCGTACTTCTTCAAAGACGACAATGGCCGGAGCGTAACTGTGAATGGCGAGCGCTACCGTGCGATGATAACAAACTTTTTTTTGCCCAAAATGGAAGAGCTGGACTTGACTGACATGTGGTTCAACAAGACGGTGCCACATGCCACACCGCACACAAAACAATGGCCCTATTGAGAGGCGAGTTCGGTGAACAGTTTATCTCACGTTTGGGGCCCGTCAATTGGCCGCCTAGATCGTGTGATTTAACGCCGTTGGACTATTTCTTGTGGGGCCATGTTAAGGCTAATGTCTACAGAGATAAACCAGCAACGATTGACGCACTGAAAGCCAATATTGAACCATTTATTCGTGAGATACCGGCCGATATGTTGGAGAGAGTGAGCCAAAATTGGACCTTGGGCATGGGCCATCTAAAGCGGAGCCGCGGCCAACATTTACATGAAATAATCTTTAAACATTAAATTATATTGACCGTTCTATCGACTCAAATAAAGATTTAATCGTTTTTTCAAATTTTTTGTCTTTTTTGAAAATCATATCCTATACCTCTTAAAAAATCACCCGTTATTAAGACTGAAACTGTAACATGTATAAATCCGTGTCCTCCTAGGTTGCCCTCGTTCAATTCAACATATATTCTCGAGGCACTACTCGATCACCTCAGCGTGTGGTCTAAATTTACTTGTAACGAGATATGTCATTTGTTTCAACTTTTATTTTCATTCTGAGCGCAGTGGAGCAACACTTCTTTTTATATATGTTTTGTGCTTTAGTGTGTTTTATTATGGATTTGGATAGAAAATGTTCCGACCATGCGCTCATACAAAGATACAGTGTTAAATATCAGATTAGCCATAAATGCAAGAATTGCGAACGCTTTTAAAAACAATCAAGTTCTAAAATATTTAAATGCTAAATTGTCAAAGATGCAATCATCTTGAAATTCGAGCTCCTTTTAGGGGTCAAAACTTCGATCCTTTCATCGATTACCGTACATCGTAATCTTTCATAAAAGACTGTATTACAAACCAATATTTCTTTTCAGTCTAAAAATTCTTCTACTTTTATATCCTTTCAAAGCTTATCGGGCACCATATATTTAGAGGGGAAGTGCTTTGAGACGTGTTTTTCGTCCTCTCCATAAATAAGAGGAAAAAAGGCAGAGCCACTCGTTCGATAAATGCCATGAAACTGGTTGTGTTTGCCGAAGCAACATTCAACAAACACCGGTCTTTCCTATTGTGGCTGTGGTCGCCGTTGACTTGATTTGTTTTTATTTTTCATCTTACTCGGCTACAATAACATGCCACTTCTCCTTTTGTGTATCTCGGTGTACCGCTACAGGCATTCTCTGATGAAAGCGCTTGATAAATTATTATCGTGCCTTGGAAGCAAGTCTTGTAGGAGGGGAGACGCGGGATTCTCCCGCTTGGATTTCTTATTGCATAAAATTCTGTTTTAGGTGGACATTTCTGCAGTATTAGTAAACCAGTTTGTTCTAGCATCTAGAAATTGTCATATTGCTTGACAACAAAAAGGAAATTAAAGGAATAATCACTTATTTCAGAAACAACCTATTTTTAAATAACCTTGAGTTCTGTTCCTCTGAAGGTACATTCATTTTATATGCAGATGATACTTCAGCAGTGATATCGAATGAGTCTGAGGCTACTTTAGAGAGAGATTGTGGAGTTTTACTGCAAAATATTCACAAGTGGTGTAGCAGAAATCAGATCTCTATTTAAGTTCTGAAAAAATATCAGTTTTCCAATCTCACAACATTTAGAAGAAATCTATGGCATTAAATATCACTTTTAATGGCACAAGAATGTTGCTTGACACGCAAGTAAAATTATTGGGATTGTATCAAGATACAGATTCGAATTTTGAAGACCAATGTGTATATATTGCTTCAAAGATAAACTCCCAATCATATATGATAGAAACTTTGCGAACGGTCCTTACCGAAGCACAGATAGTTTCTGCTTTACGCTCAAGTTGAGAAACGACTGAGGTATGCACTATGCTTCTGGAGTTTGTCTACAAATGCCCAGCAAGTATTTTTGGCTCAAAAAAGTGTGTTTAGATGCAGTTATATTAGAGTCAGTAGTAGGGATTCTTGAAAGGATATTTTTAAGTTCCTTAAAATTTTAACCTTATTTATTTTTATACGAAATGGCTGTGTATACTTTTATTCACAAAAATAGGTTTTATAATTTTAAGGCTAAAATGATAGAATTTCTTGTAAGTAAATGTTATTATGCCGTCTCTGGGTTTATTTTGATTTATTTGTGTTTGTTTTTATACCAATATTTATTTTGTGTTCGTTATTAGTTTTTATTCTGACGAATCCTGTACATACATTGTATAATGTGTCTTAGGATGATACAGAATTTGAAGTTGAACCTAGGTTACAAAGTACATGTTCGGAGATAATAAGAAAAAACTGATTGGTGTTCTTGCATGTTATTAGTATTTGAACATAACCCACTTAGTACAAGGTCGATAGGTTCAAAAACACGTTTGAACGCTTTAAATATCTTTTCATGCATTAAACAAATTGTGACTAAAAATATTTCTGATTTTTAATGAAGCGAACCGCTCAGAAAATAAAGCTAAACATACTTCATAAGTATCTATAAACTTAAGGATCAATTAAACCACTCTTCACATCTAATTTTTTTTTTGCTATAATCTTTTATATTCATTTACTGATCGACGTCGGCTTGATTTCGGTAGGTAGGTTTGTAATAGAAATCAATATAACTTTGGAATAAGAAACTCTAAAAAATAGGATCTAAAGACTGACTGCTTATCCTTCCAGACAGTCACGTTTTTATTGTAAGTTGCTTGGAGTACAATGAAAACATGGCAAAGTGTGCACGATAACTGACATATTTATTACAATACCACCCAAGGCTGTCTAGCTACGCAGCGATAAACGCATAAGCTCCGAATATCGCCCAAACTGAGTAAGTTGAGCTTTGGTATCAGTATTGGATTTCACATCATCAGTGTTCGGCATCACGGTAGGGTCGCCGACATCTGACGATATTTGGTGCTTTGCTTTGCCTTCCCCTCAGGTCAGAACCTTAAAGAGGAACTACCCTAAGCCGTACAAAGAACAGCTGTGCGCATTGTGTGCGAGGGGTGGTCTGCTTTAATCAGGATTGTATGGAACCTTGTATGAAAAACCCACTTGACGTTGACACCTCGAATAATTATTGTGTACTCGTAGATGTGGTGTGTGGGTGTCTAGATCAAATACAATATTTAACGAGTGTGTCGATGTTCGTAGTGATTATTAATGAAATAAAAATAATAGCGTGCTCATCATTATGTTTCTTTAAATCATCAGCTGCTCTAAGCAAGAGTTTTTTAAGAGTTAGATCACAAAGAGTTGTCATCGGTATGATGAAAACTTCTCCGGAGGCTTTAATATTTTCTGGAGTGCCCCAAGGATAAGTTCTTGGACCACTTCTTTTTATTTTATATATCTCCCATCTTAATAAGGTTGTTAAATACTGGAATAAGTTTATTGCGAATGAGTCGCAGTTATATAATAATTTTAATACTGGCAATATAATAAATGCTAAGGCTCAGATTAATGAAGATTTGAGATCTATCTACAAGTATATAAGAATTCATAATCTTATATTAAATCGAGAAAAATCAAAAGAAATTATATTCTCTCCTAAAAAACTTATAAGTCAAATAGAGATATATTCGACTATATCATTGAATGGTGAAATTATACAAGTTTGTGTAACTGTAAAAAATCCAGTCAGATCCTGCGATGAATGTCTAAATGTTATTCCTCATGTCACAAAAGTTGTTTTTAGTACCTATTTCAAAAAGAACATACTGCAACTTTGTTTATGACATAACTTAATATTTTACTAAATATTTCACTTATAATGCTACCGTTATGTACACTTTACACTTTAATACTAAAGCTTTAAATCCCAAAAAGCATTTTTTATTTTAAATTAAAAAATGTATCTCCTACTTCTGCTTGTACACGTTTGTGTGTACATCATTCTACAACCATGTATAATGTTATACTTTTCCCCTTTTAACCAATTAAGTAATCTATTTTACTCGATTGATTTGTAGGTCGAAAATGGCATGCATTGTTTTTAATGTTTATTTTGTGTATGGACGTTTTACGGGTTAAGTGGTAGAATAGCTTATGTTAAACTTAAAAATAAGTAAAGATTATTTTTACATGTATAACAAAACAATTAGATGGATCAAGTCACTAAAACAGACCCATACAATTGGTCCTTAGCCGCACATTTAATAGCGTTGCAATCTAGAAATTTCTCCCTTGCCCTACCGACAGTACCGATCATCTGGTGAAATTATCATGACTAACCTGACCAATCGCCAGACAGCACCACAGCAGCCACTACAGACTGTGCCTGAAATTCTTGCGTGTTTGCATGCATAGTTTTTGATTGACACATGATTCAGTATTTAAGTTGTTTCGTATTATTCCATTTTATATTAGAAACAAGTCTAAAAGGCTAAAAGACGAGAGGCATCAACAAAGAGCATTCAAAACTAAATCAGTCCTTATTTAATTAAAATTAGTGACGGACTGGAAATTAAAAAATACGAATTGTCTATATCTACATTTAATCCATAGCAGAATTTTTGTGAAATGTAGAAGCCCACGCACAAGCTTGCTTCTGTGGGTTTTCTGTTTGTTTACCATCCTTCATCTGTACAGGCTTTTATATTCATATTACCATATTATCGTAGTTTTTAGTTAATACAATACTTTTTATTCGGATGTTGCTGGGAATGTATAAAATTGGTGACCTTGGGAGGTCTGCATATAATAATAATAATAATAATAATATTTATTTACTCAATGTACAAAGATAACAAACATATGAGTACATAAATAAAAATCAAAACAGGCCCATAGAAGGCATCCTGTACATGGACCAATAATTTAAGTTGAAACTGTAGAATGCAAATGACAAAAAAGGACAAAAATTAGCTACAGTAGATTATGTATTTAGTTGATGTTCGTATTTATGAGTTTATGAATTCAGTCCTAGATATAGAATGTAGCCACTTTTTAATTTATTTTGAAACAATTTCGCCAACGTAAATCTTTTAAGTCTTTCATAAAATTTAGGCGCTAAATAGAGATATGATCGCTGCATTATAGATTTATGCGGTTGAGGAACTACTGTGCCACGAATTTGTATCTGGTATAATGATTATGTTTAATTTTTTGGTCGGTGTTTACAAATTTATGGTAGTGAGTGATACTGTGAAGAATAAAGCTGTCTTATATCATACATTCGAACATCTGCACATAATTTTTCAGTGGGATAAAGTTTCTGTTTTTTAAAATCATTTTTAGAATACTTTTTTGAAAAAACATCTAAATTATAGTGTGAGGAACATGCAGCTCCCCATGCTAATATACCATATGTGAGATGAGGCTCAATCAGTGCATGGTATAATGTTTGAAGATATTTTTCTGTCAATATTTCCCAAGGTATTTAATTTTGTAGGATACAAATCTAACTTTCTTTAAAATATAATTGACATGGATGTCCCATCGTAAGTGAGGATCCAAGACCACTCCAAGGTATTTATGTTGGGCACTCTATTAATTTGTATTTTTGATCATTAATATTGAAGGAGAAATTTGTGTAATTTGGCAGATGTCTAGCATAAGATCCAATGTAAAAAATGTGTTTTAGAGCAGTTAATGCTTAATTTTCTACTATTAAACCACCGAATAATTTTGATAAATAATAAATAAAATATGAATGATGAGATGCTATTTTCGATACTGAAGCTACATGTACTCATTCGTATACAGACCAACTAAAAGTCAACAGTTTCACATATTTTCAGCAACGTACTTATTTACATACCTGTACATACCTTATAGGCTAGTGAGTTATAGTATGAATATAATTGAATGTTAACTCATTATTTTTTTAATAATCGGATTTCTATTATATGGTTCAAATAATCATTCCCGCACGCTCTGCCTCGCCAACAATGGCGGATGGGCGTGTTGGCTTGGGTGTTGCTGATTTCGGATCGGACCCCTCCACGGGTTTAAAGGATCTCGCGTGTTCTTAGGTTGCTGGTTGCAATACATAACAGGCCGAAAATTTATCGCGAAGTATGTATCCAATTCCTCGAGGTCGATAATACTACGGAATTTACAAATATATACTTACTACCTAGTCTTTCGCTATAATATCAAATATGCATGCAGTCACAACCCCCAAACTCCTAATTTTCAACCCCTACAAATATTTCCTCTAAAACGATCAGAGCATCTGAAACGTCAAAAAAAAGAAGCTT